GCATGCAAATCCAACAGTTCGTGACGTTAAGTGTAAGAGCAGTGCGCCTGGCATCCCATACAAAAGCATTAAAAGCCCACAGTCCCTGATCCTCATATGCCTGGCTGAGGTGGTGTACGTTGAGCCATATAAGGACGAACACAACGAGCTGGAGTCCAAATGATCTCGCCATGGTCGTCTATTGCAGCATAGCCTCGACCCCAGGTAATGAGGGAGGCAGGCCCTTTCCAGGTGGGATCAGGCAAACGTCGATAGTATACCTGGGGGCGTGAAGAATCTGTGGGAGAAGCAGAAAAATGCCTGCTTGCGGCAGTTGAGCCAGGGGTGCCAGAAACATTCAAAAAGTTTAAGGTAAAAAGTACAAGATTAAGAGTGTTTTGTATCCCAGGCAAGCCGGGGGTATTTTCCCCTTTCTTTTTTGCATGCATGTCTAGAGCCTTTTTTACGGTCTGATTGGCTCGTTCCACGATCGCTTGACCAGTGGAGTTATATGGAATGCCAAATTTATGAACAATAGACCAGCGAGAGCAAAACTGCGCAAAGGAGGTGCTGGTATAAGCAGGAGAGTTATCAGTCTTAATTTCTTTTGGATTGCCCAGGGTAGAAAAAGTACGAATACAATGATTAATAACATGTTTAGCAGACTCACCCCTTTGAGGGGTGGCCATAATAAAACCTGAATAGGTGTCAATGGAAACATGCAAATATTTCCAGGGGGCAAATGGCAAATATTGTGTAACATCCATTTGCCAAAGTTGACAGCTCTGCGTCCCTCTTGGGTTGACCCCTTGAGGAACAGAGTGTGCTTGGAGGCTGCAGGTGGGACATTGTTGTATGATAGCCGCAGCCTCCGTAGCCGTTAAAGAAAATTGTTTCATTAAAGCCTTCTTATTTTGATGAGAATATGAATGGCTGTCCCATGGGGTTATGGGAGATAAAACAAGGACAGAAACGTCCTGGTGAGTGGAGGCGGCCGAAGCGGCAGCATCCGCCTTGGCATTGCCTTCAGAGATAATACCAGGGAAAGATTGGTGACTTCTAATATGAGCAGGAAAAAAACAAGTAGAGCGGGAATGAAGAAGGGATTGAAGTGTGAAAAATAGACTGAGGAGAGAGTCATCCAGCGAGGGTGACACATATGAATCAGATAAAGAGGTGAGAACTTTATATACATAAAGACTATCTAAAATAAAATTAAAAGGTTCAGAAGAAAAAGTTTGTAAAGCCAATATTGTAGCAGCAAGTTCAGCACGCTGAGCAGAAGTTTGAGGAGGAGTAATTTTTGTGTGCCATTGTTCACCCTCCTTCCATACACATGAACCATAATTCTTGCTGCCATCAACATACAGGGTGACAGCGTTAGGAATGGGAGAGGAGGAAATGGGAGAATGCAGAGAAATTGAAACATTATTAAGGAGTTGGAAGCGAGGGTCAGAGGGAATATGACAGGAAACAGATCCTGCCCAGTCAGCAAGAGAAAGTTGCAATACATCTGAAGAGTACAATTGAAGCAAGTGCCTTGGGGCTGATTTCCCTTTTGGATTGCAGCTGCAAGAGTGTCCATTTGAAAAGCATTGGTTCCCACAATGTAACAGGCTTTAAGAAAATCTGCTAAGGTGGCCGTGGGAGTGGAAACAATTGGTTTAAGAATGGACTGGCAGTCTGCATTTGCATGTTCATAAGCCAATTTTATGAGGATTTCATTTGCTGCATCTCTGTTTGAAATTTGACGCTCAAGGGCAACTTGCAGGCGATTCACAAAGTCTGCATAGGATTTAGTTGCAGTTTGGCGAATGGCAAAAAAAGATTGAATCGGGGTGCCAGACTCATCAACACGAGCCATGGCAGAAAGAACACAAGTATTAATGATAGGAAATGCAAAGGGAGTAAAAGTTTGAGCTTGAGCATTAAGGGTAGCAAAATTGCCTTTTCCGAAGAGTTGTTCTGCTGTCCATTGTGAACCTGAGTGATTAGCTCTGTTTTGTGCCTCTCTTTTATATTCAGATTCAAAGACTACGTATTGTGTTCCGTTAAGAAGCATGCGGAACAGATCTTTCCAATCTTGAGGCAACATTCGATATGCACTAGCAACTGAATGTATTAGTCCTCTAGTATAGGGACTGGTTATGCCATAATCTTTTGTAGCCTTTTTCAATTCTCGGATCATAGCCAAGGGAAGTGCTTCCCAATTAACTACTATCCCTGCTGCAGTCTGTTGGTAAGTAACAGGGAACAACTCTGTCTTGGATAGTTCAGAAACGCTTAAATCACCACTGTTTAAAGCCTTTTGAAAAGCACCACGGATGATTCCGGGCCGGGAGACAGGCGACAACGTGGCAGGAAAAGGAGAGGCTGTTTGTTGTTTATCAGGATCCATAAAATTTGCAGGGGCAGAAGGAGGGTTAAAACCAGCTCCAGGGGGTAAGGGAGTGGCCAACATAACAGACGGATTTTTAAACAGTGGAGGGTCTAATAAAGGCTGATGAGGCGAGTCAGCATGGGTTTGAATCAGGGTATAGGCAATTTTCCAAAGGCACAAAATCTCTGCTGGGGCTCTTGGAGACTGTTGGAGAACGGTGCCAATTTTCCTCCATGTATCTACTTTTAAAGATCCAGACTCCGGATAGGATGAGCAGTTAGCCCATACGTAAGCAAGCAATTTAACAGCCTCAGATTTAGAAAGGTGATGGGTTAATTTCTGTTCCTGATCAGTAAGATATTTTTTCCTGCCAAGTAGCCTCAGCTATTCCACATGCTGCTTTTGAGACATTCCACCCTCCATACTTACGAAGAGGAGTCAGTTGCCAGCAACTTCGTCGGGTGCACCAAGCCTATTCCAGGCGATAAGTAAAGGGTCGGCAGGGACGTATCCCTCAGTGGATCACGTCGGGGTCACCAGATGTGGTGGTCTCCCATGGAGAATGAGACACGCACACAGGTATCTTGGGATGGGAGCCCAGAGCTGACTCTTGCACCCTATTTTATTGTTACTAAGGTTTTTACATCACACAGCGTAAGCAAAAGACGTATATAGGGGTGGTTACAATGTATCAAATAACAGACACTTTCCAGATGCAAGGCTACTGCAGGTGTTCTTATCAGAGTCTGTCCAAATGGTTGATGAATGCATCCTGTGTCTAGAGCGGTCCGTTTGTTATCTCAAGGACCTTGTGGGAGATGTCTATGGGCAGATGCCCATGGACATATTTGTGCAATTAATCCCACAGATGCTGGAACCTGGCCAGCAAAATCTCTCCAGAGAGAGGAAAGATTGTGAGATAGCGCATGTACACTCTGGACAGCTACTTCTCATGAGTAGACCATAGAAATCAAGATTTTGCAGTTGGCTTTGCAGATGGCTGAGTGTTGAGGGATACCATCTAAGCTCGCAGTCTCATACTGCTGTTAACCATCAAACTATATCACCATAAGAGCATTGAATCAGAAACTACTAAGAATTTTGTCATAGCTCAATTTTTATCCTAGTGTAATGTGATGGCTAGCAAAAGATAGTAGCTCTTGAAGCAGGTTTCTGCCTGCTTAAAAAGCGTACCTGTGACTATTAATTTAGCATACTGATTTCTGACTGTGGGTGCATCAGATAAAAACTAAGACATTTCTGCATGTCTACACATCTGATCTGCACTAGCTGTATTGTGACAGAATTATGTTTTACATCATGGGAAAAATGAAAGCTATACATTTTAAGGAAGAGAAAGTGGGGCTAGGAAGGAAATTGTCACAATTTGAATGGAATTAGGCACAGTGCCAGTATTTAATCTTCATTTATCATCCTAATCCTACAGAACTGGAAGACAGTCTAGATTAAAAAATTTAAAAATCAAGCACAATGCATTTAAAAGTATCAGTAGTACAATTGTTATGAACTAAACTCAATATTTTCCAAACTTCACATTATATATATATATATATATGTATGTATAATTTCAAAACCTGTTTAAAGTAAATAAGCTTTGCAAGGCATCTAAACACAATCCATATCACGTTGGGGAATCATGGTTGTGATGAATCACACATAATAATCTAGATTTTTCTCCATATCATGTCTTGAGCTATGATATAAAAAGGACTATGATAGTCATTTGAGAGTCTTTCACTCTGAATCTGTGTCTGAAGAAGATACAACTGTCTTTTATCATAATGGAGCACAACACAAAACAGAAAATATTTTATTTCTAGCAAAAAACAAATATTACGTCTGATTAGCTTTCTTGCTCCATTATCTCAAAATACCTTTGCCGAGCACTCATATTTGAGTCTGTGTCTGAACAAAACCTGGACATTTCAGCCCAAAGATCACCAAAACTGGTTGTTTTGTGCACGAAACAGCATGTGATTGAACTTTCGGCATAACCCTTTCAGGTTCTTCTCTCTAAAGCAAGTTGGTTCTACATAAACAGTAAATTACAAAGAAATTTTGGGACAAAGCAGCCCAAGAGCATCTCCAACTGTGATATCTGTGCGTGGTGTCTATGTGTGGTCTTGACAGTGCAAATAAAGTAACAACTTCAAGCTTCATCTCCTGGCATAGTTATGGGAAGAAAAGGATTTTTGAAAAAGAGGCTACATGAAAATTTCAGAGTAACAAAAATTAGTTTCAGTTTAGTGGAACAGTAACATGGATAACATCCTTTTTCGGATCAGAGTGAACTCGAATAGCAATTTTACCCAAGAATAATTTTAGCACCTACAGACCAAATCTGCATGTGTGTGAATAGCTCTGAGGACTACTGCTACTTGAAGTATGCAAAGTTTGTATCCTAGTGCACTGAAGCATTGAACCTAGGTTTCCTCTGTTCCCTATTATGACAGTTATACAGTAATGCCTTACCAATTTGTAATTGAATATAAAAAACAGTCCTACTGAAAAGACTTCTCCACAGGATATTTGAATTATTATACTTAAATTACAAATGCAACAAAACAAAACAAGACAAAGAAAAAATCTCTCTGCAATGCCATATTTTTTCACAACTTACCTAAGTCTCCTTCAAGTCAAACTTCACGGAAAACAATAGTTTTATGGGCAACATCATAGAAGTGGTTTCCTATTGCCTTCTTCTGGGCATTTTTTTGACCTCCTAGTATGGTCTGCTGTTCCTGAAGCTCTCCATTGATGTACCAGTCAGGCCCAATCCCGTTTAGCTTCACATAGAGGCTTCCATCATCTGACAAACCTGAAACAGTTCAAATTACTGTTACAGCATCATGGCACCTGGAATAGCTGGAAGAGGGTACATTAGGAGAAATTCAAATATGTATTTATTTTGTTATTGACTTTTTTTTAAAAAAAATCACAAACTGATTAAGAAAACCATCAAGTATCTCCTCCAATCTTTTCAACAAAAAGTGTAATCACATTATTTGAAATCTGTTGAAATAGATAGGTATAAATACTAACACTACTGGTATGTTGGAATCTGCCCACTGGTTTCTACCAGTCTTTCTTCTCTATGAGGAAAAATATTTTTATATTTTATTATTTGGGTGTTTTCATTTGATTTAGTTATGTTTGAAAGGTTACTTGATAAGACATAGAGCAGGATGCTATTGATGTTGCTTTCCATTGCATACCTCTAAGTCCTCACTAGCTGCCTTTCTTTCTTCATCAGTCATACTCCATGGTAGAATATTCCTCGTGATGGCCTTCCCTTGGCTCAACTGAAGTGTGGAAAGTTAGAGTAGCAGCAAGGTGTGTCTACATGAGACTTGACAAACATTCTGACTTAACACATCATTAAAAATTAAAGATAAAATCTCTACAGAAAGTATATGGGTCAATATAAAAGAAAAAAAAGTGATATTGCCATAGGTGTATATTATAGGCCACCCAATCAATCAGAAAAAATAGACAAACTCTTTGCCAACCAGTTAACAAATGCATGTAAGAGGCATACCACAGTAGTAATGGGAGACTTCAACTATCCAGATATCAACTGGGAGACAAACTCTGCAGTGAGTGGGAGATCAAACAGATTCCTAACCAACCTAGATGACAACTTTGTCACCCAAAAGGTGGAGGAGGGAACTAGATGCAAAACTATACTGGACATAATCCTTACAAACAGAAGAAGTCATAGAGAGAATTGAAATTACCAGAATCTTGGGCGAAAGTGACCATGTCATACTGGAATTTAATATAATGCAAACACTAGCAATAGAAAACAATCCAACCAAAGTCCTAAACTTCAAAAGAGCCGAATTTAACAAACTCAGAGAGAACCTAGGAAAAATCCCATGGATGGAAATCCTAAAGGGAAAACAACTCAGGAAGTGTGGGAAACCCTGAAAAATGTGATCACAAAAGCCCAGACCAGCACAATACCACTTAGAAAGAAAAACAAGAAATCCAAGAAGAAACCAGCATGGCTGTACAAAGATCTCTCTAACAAACTAAAAGACAAAAAGGACAAATACAAAAAATAGAAACAGGGGCACTAGGACCTGACAGACTACATCCCAGAGTTCTGAAGGAGCTGACAGATGTTATCTCAGAGCTGTACCACATCTTTCATAAATCCTGGAGCACCGGGGGAAATACCTGAGGATTGGAAAAGGGCTGATATAGTCCCATCTTCAAGAAAGGGAAAAAAATGGACCCAGGAAACTGCAACCAATCAGTTTAATATCAATACCTGGGAAAATCCTAGAAAAGATCATCAAAAAACAGATCTGCAAACAACTAGAAACAAACAAAATCATAACTAGTTGCCAACACGGGTTTGTTAAAAACAGATCATGCCAAACCAATCTCATCTCATTCTTAGATAAAGTGACTAAACTAGTAGATCAATAAAATGCAGTGGACATAGTATACTTAGATTTCAGTAAGGCATTTGACAAGGGTAGACCAACTTACTCCTTGGTAGGAAAAGATGGAATAGACAACATTACTACCAGATGGATCTATAGCTGGCTAACAAACTGTACACAATGAGTAGTCCTCAATGGCACTACATCCACATGGAGAGAAGTAAATAGTGGGGTACCACAAGGGTTGACTAGTGTAAAGAAAAGAAGAAATAGGGGAGACATGATAGCAGTGTTCCAGTATCTGATGGGCTGTCACAGGGCAGAGGGGGCCAGGTTATTCACCAAAGCACCAGAGGGATGGATGAGAAACAACAGTTGGAAACTGATCAAAGAGAGAAGCAACCTGGAACTAAGGAGAAACAGTGGAACAGCTTACCCCCCAGAAATCGTGAGTGCTCTATCACTGGATATTTTTAAGAGGAGACTGGACATTCACCTGTCTGAGATGGTGTTGGTTCTCCTGATTGAGCAAGGGGCTGGACTAGGAGACCTCCAAGGTCCCTTCCAGCTCTATTCTATTCATATTAAGGCAAATCTTTGAATCTTGCAGATCACCATGATTATTTAACTAAAATATTCTCCTTTTATAAATGTCAAAATTAAATTATGACCCAACAGATAAAGAATACATATTTTTATCACAACATTAAGAAATACATAGCACATATATTGATTTTATCCAACCAGGCATAGTTTTTATCTATTTAGATCCAGTACATGGATTCCCCCCCCCCCCAAAAAAAATTCCCTTAGCTCTCCTTCACTGACATTCCAGCGTATGGAATTCTGACTGAAGAAAACTGCATAAATGAAGGAAAAGCCTGGACATACTTTTGGCTTTATTTCAAGGAGCAGAGCCAGTTTGGGAACTAGAGGCAGCAAGATTCTATGTTACTGATAGGGCACAGAAAAATGTGATGTTTGGGGAATTAAAACAGTCAGAATGTTCTGAGTTTTTTCACCATTAAAGCAGTGATTTGTTAGACTGCATCATATTGCCAGTTCCCACTGTTCCACATTAGATTACATAAACTGTGAAGATACAGAACATACCAATATTTTATGCAGAAATTGTAATACTGCAGCATTGACTGAACATTTGTACAATGGACTTAGTTTGGGATAAATTACTATTTTTGAAATATAAGTTCCCATCAATAAAATCAAAATTATAGAAATCCATTTAAGTTTCAAAGTCCCTGAAAAGAACAGTTTAGATTAATGTCTCACATAAATGGTAAGCTTTCTGGGAAATATTTCACTTCAATAGTTTTTATATTCTGTATTTTGAGTTTATGTGTGCATGTATTTCTGAGTTGGAAATATGAATGCAATAATATGTTGGCTTATAAAGTAGTCTTTGATCCAAGCTTGTACAGAACAGCATTGACGTACTTGGGATGAAACTGATTGTGCTTCTACCTAAAATGTACGAAAATATTATTATTGATAACATGTGGCAGGAGTCTGACTAAGATTGGTATAATTTTCTACATCTTCTTCATACCACTGCAGAACTTTGTGGTAGTATAAATCATGATAGACAGTAGTCAATATATAGGTATAGGGTTTCCTGCCTAAGCAGGGGGTTGGACTAGAAGACCTTCAACTATTCCAACTATTCTATTCTATTCTATTCTATTCTATTCTATTCTATTCTATTCTATTCTATTCTATTCTATTCTATTCATAGATTCTGACATCATCTGAAGATATCCAGAGCAGTGGAAGACTGGAGGATTATGACTTGGAATGTAAAAGTTAATAATAGAGAATATAAATAAAATAAATGAAGGGAAGATATATCTATTGCATGTCTGTAAAAAAGAAAAGGGGAAAGAACATCATAGATTGGAAGGAGGTGATCTGACTTTGTGGAGTTGATGGATATATGTAGAGAATGAAGTTGTAGGATCAATTATGAAAGATTAACATGCATGTGAGAAGGTATATTATTATGAATGCACATGAAAATAGGAATTGTAACAGTTGCATATAATCTTAAAGCATATGGGATAATGGAAGAACCAGATATAGTTTTGAGAAAAAATGTGCAATATTTTGAATAAATGTGATCAGGGGAAAAAAAAGTCTGCTAATGATAAATGTGGAAATCAGATAAGAGACTACAGTAAAAGTGACTGAGACATTTAAAGATCAAGAATGAAAGCGGATGTTGAGTAGTGACTATCTGCTTAGAATATGTTTTTCCTATGATTAAAGTAAAGTAAAAGAAGGTTTGATTCCTCCCCCCCCCCCGATGTTCAATGGGTGATTGAATAAACATATTGGGCATATGTATGGTGATGATATAAACATGTTGGTTGAGATGTCATTTTATATGCTTTGTTGTTTGCTGAGATTAGGTTCTGATAAACTCAAAATGTGCTACACAACAAAACCTTTTCCATTCTTTCCCAAACAAAATATGGAAATGGTATTCTTGGCTAAGAGAGACTTACAGGGTTATGTCAACCAGTTACAGATGGGAAGAGTGTGTAAATCCTGGTCCTGTTAAATAAGTCAGTGGTTTTTTGATTCCATCAACTGTGGTATCTCCCTGGTCTGTCTGCAAAGGTTGGGAGTTGGAGACACTATTTTCCTGAGGTTCCATTTTTACTTCAGTGGACAGGTCCAGTCATTGGACATCAATGTGGATGTAGTACCATTGAGGACTACTCATTGAGTACGTTTTATCAGGCAGCTACAAATCCATCTGGTGATGATGTTGTCTATTCCACCTTTTTCTAGCTTGCCAAGGAGTAAGTTGTGGTCTACCCTTGTGGAATGCCTTACTGAAATCTAAGTATACTATGTCCACAGCGTTTCACTGGTCTACTAATTTGGACACTTTATCAAAGAATGAAATAAAATTGGTTTGGCATGATCTGTTTTTAACAAACCCATGCTGGCTACCAGTTATAACTTTGTTTGCTTTTAGTTGTTCACAGATCTGTTTTTTGATTATCTTTTCCAAGATCTTCTCAGGTTAGACTGATCGGTCTGTAATTTTCTGGGTCTGTTTTTTTTTTCCTTTCTTGAAGATGGGAACTACATCAGTCCTTTTCCAATTCTCAGGTACTTCCCTGGTGCTCCAGGGTTTTTGAAAGATATGGCACCATGGTTCTAAGATAATTGCCAGCTCTTTCAGAACTCTGGGATGTAATCTGTCAGATCCCGGTGATTTATATTCGTCAAGGTTGGATAGGTGTTCTCTTTCCATTCTCTTGCTTATTTTAATTTTTGTTTCTAGTTTATCTTTTGCAGTAGTTTTTTTGGTATGTTGGGCTATAATTTCTTTTTGTGTGAAGACTGATGCAAAGTATGCGTTAAGCAGCTCTTCTTTCTCCCTGTTGCCT